GAACCCAGGCCGCTGCATTTAGGACCAAGCCAACCAATGGCACATGCTCTGCCAGGCGAGCCACCGAGGCGCCCCAACTGATTCCAATTTCATCTGACCACTGATGTCACCTGGACCACAGAGCACGCTTTCACAGGTGTTATAGAGGAACTTCAGAAGAACAGGAATGTTCTAATATTCTAATAAAGTGAAAACAGTCTGACATCAGGAGGCCACTTGTTTTTCTTCGTTGTGAGGTTTAGCTGCAGTTTCAGTCGCAGCTACAGACTCATGTTTATCTTCCGGAGCACTTGTCACTGTCGTCACAGCACGTGGTTGTGGCACTGCAGGTACAGTGGTGTTACTGTTACTTCAGCAAATCATGTTCTTTATGTTTTGGGGAAAACAAAAATGTTTTCAGTCCAAACAGTTTATTCTATGATCTGGAAACCTCTTATTTCACCACATGGTGTCGTCTACATGTTAAATTAAACAGATAAGCCTTCATCACTCTGAACCAGTCAACATGGAGTATACACCAGCATCATCATCATCATCATCATCATCATCATCAAATAGTTGGACCATGTGGTGTCAGAGATGATTTCATTCAGTGCTGTTCTGTCTTATTGCACCACTGCTCTGACGAATATATGGAGAGAGTGGTTCACTCAACATATATGTGAAACATTTCTGTGCCTCACCCTTGACTCATCAAACATTAGCCAAGCTTTTCATGCTGGTGTGTTTTTCCACCTTTGCTTTAGGACTGGACTAATCCAAACGAGTCCTCTAAAGTGGACTAAAGAATGTGAGGAAGTCTAAACGCAGTTTCCTTTTCTTTCACGCTGCACATCTGGTCCTTTGTTCACCACTGCTCCAGTTTCTTTCAAAGAAAAAAAAAAGAGGTTTAAAACTAGTGATTAAAACAAGCTAAGCTGAGTTCCATCCACTTGGCTGCATGTCACCAGGTGTGGCCTTCTCATAGTCATCTCACAGAGGTTGGACGTGCTCCACTGCAGCGTGGACGCAGCAGTCATCGGACGACAGCGCCAGTTACTCTTCTAGGATGTGAGAGGACAAGTGTTCCAGTCCGTGGTGGCGGTGCTCGATGAACAACAACAAGAACCATGAACGTCCGAATACATTCAGACACATTTCAAATGCATCGGCAGCACAGACACAGTCTTTCAGTTTGGTCTTTCAGTCGTCGACTGTTTGCTGGGAAACACGGACCTGAGATATGTTGTCGAAAATTATTTGTACTAAACTCAACCTGTTTGAACTAGTGTGTATTTACTTTTTTATTAGGAAAAGACTTTGTGCTATTTTTTTTCAAATTCTGTGTAGAGATGATGTTGTTGCACTGTGACATTTGTTTTTACCCAAACTGAATATGACCATGAAATACAAAGTTTTCTCATAACACCCTGATGTGGGTCTAATGTTATTCATTATATTCAGTCAAGTTATCATCAGCATGATTTCTGGACTTGTTTAGATGTTCTCTCAACATACTGATACAAACAGACTTCACTGTGATACCTGGCAGCGCTGCAGCTCCCGCCCCATGGCCCCATGGGTATCTGGATTAAAGTAACAGCAAAACAAGTCAGTGGTGGTTTGTAGAGAACTACAAGAACAGGACTGAACACCAGGATGTGGACCAGCAGGTCTGATCAGGTTCTACAGAGACTCGGCGGCAGAACAAATGATTGAACTTCTTGTTTCTATGAGTTTTAGTCATATAAAAACATGTTTGACTTTTTGACTATTACACATTTGAAGCACACTAATGTTCACCATGTTAGTCAGGGCCTTTCTTTGTGTTTTGGATAAAGAGAAATAGAACTAAATCTCTGTTGTGCGTTGTGTTGGTGGTAAACGCAGGTTTAGTGTGTTTTTTTTCCTGGCGTTTTCCCTGAGTCAGAGCCAGGAGGCCAGTTTCTTGTTGAAGTGATCTAGAAACATCTTTGAAAGCTCAGGTAGCTGTGAACTCAATAAGCAGCCAAGCCGTCCCTCTGCTCATGCTGTGAATCTCATCTCATGCTAGAAGGAGTGGAGAAAAGACAACAGTGAGAGAGGAGGAGGCTGGAGAGCGCAGGAGCCGTGGAAACTATGTGGAGTGGCTTCAGTGGAGCGAGGAGCCGGCTCTGTGACGGGACGGCAGGGCCGAGCTGAGAGGGAACAAATCGGGCTCTGCTGGAGATGAGAGGAGGGGGGCGGAGGCTGGGACAACGCTTTGAACCAAGCAGCACGCCGCCATGTCCCAGCATGCATCAGGATGTTGCTACGGTGGCCGAGATCAGCGGTCATTCAAAACCTCAAAATGAAAGTTGAGATTTTACTGTAATCATTCATATCTGCACCTGCACTGTTTAGTCAATAGATGTCATAATAATAATAATAATGATAATTATATATCACTTCTGCTACATTCTAAATGAGGTGTTTTTTTTAAAAGGAGAGAATATTGGCAGCCTCCTGCATAGTTTCATCTGCTCACTGCAAGTGACATTTATCCACAGAGCAACACTTTAACACAGACACAGTCACTGTGGATGTTCAGCTAATGTAACTAGTTCATCCTCTGTTAACTAGTTCTTCATATTCTTTGTACAAGATGAAACCTAAAGAGAAACTATCAAAAGAATATTTTTACACCTGGGTCTTATCATCATCATACTGGTTTGGTAACGTTTTACTCACCAACTATCTTGGATTAAATTGGATTAAATCTGTGACACCGTTTAAAGTTCCTCTTATTAAACATATGAATTATATATTTAGAAGATTTTTCTATCAAGAAAATCCCTTCTTCACCTTAGATGGCCTTGATGTAACTCTACACCTCTGCCTCATTTAGTAAACACAGATCTGTGAACATGTAAATTAGCCCCGCCTCTTTCTCCACCTGCGTTCAAGTGACAGTGACCTCTAGTGGCTGTAGTAACTCTGAGGAGGAAGTCAGCTGACACAGTGTAAAGAGCAACGCAGTCCTCGTTGGGAGGAGGTCGGGGTGGATGAATCATGACAACAGTCAACATGACAACAGTCAGCGTTGTTACTTTTAACCACAATTGTTCCATAACATTCACCTTTACTATTGTAACTATGATAACGAACGTCCTCCAACCTTAACAAAAGGCTAATTTAACCCAGACTACCATCCTTCTATTGTTTTTGCTCTTACTGTAACATGTGTTGGGATTTTTAATTTACTGACGTATCTCCAGCTGCTGCCAGGAGACACTCCTATGAGACATGGTCAGGGACAAACCACCTCATTAATTTAAATATTAAAGGTACTTTTATCAGGAAGTAAATAGAGATTTACCTCAATTGGGAATTTACAGTCTGGGTGCATCTTGCTTCCCTGATGTATTTCCTGCAGACACAGAGCACAGCAGCTCAATGTTGACTGGCCGTTAAATGTGTTCAAAAACTGTAAATCACTGAATTACAAAGTGAAAGACTAGACTGGACCAGTTTGATGGGAAAGGCAGACTTACTGAGAAATCAGTGATGGTGCAATGAGCAATGAGCTGCATTATGTCATTGTTATTCTATCTATCTATCTATCTATCTATCTATCTATCTATCTATCTATCTATCTATCTATCTTTCTATCTATCTAGTAGGTGTTCACAGTGTCAGCAGTGTAATAGTGTAATATACAGCTGGTGTACAGTAAGATCCTGGATCAGTGCTGGTCTACACACTGCAGTGACACCTAATGGCCACTAGAGGGCAGACATGTGGACTGTTTGAAATAACTGCTGAATAAATGAGGGACCAGTGTTCCCTCTGTTTTATCTCTGTGTTTGGTCTCCACCAGCTCCTGAGGAAACACCTGGATCTAAATGCTCCACCATGTTCACCTGCTGTCTACCTGAGCAGGTGGGGCGCTGAAGCAGAGTGAAAGAGCTCTGCAGAGCTGATATGAACTGGAGGGTTGGTGGTCATTACCTGTGGCTCTGTCACTACAATTATCACTTTTCACATTACACATATTTTATATTGTTCATATAAAATTATTGATTAGTGCAGGTTTAAACAACTAATTGGCTGTTAGAAAATAATACTAATAATACTGAAGACTGTCTAAAAAAGGGAAGTGTTGGTGACAAAATGTTTTCAATAAAGGAATTTCCAAATGAAAAACTGGGAGCTGAAGTTACATAACCTCTGAGGCTGCGTGCAGATGACAAGCTGAAAGCTGGTGCAGCTTTAAGATGATTTAGAGAAGTAAAAAAGATAATAACACAGCCTCATGTAATGTCTTATGGTATGGAGACCAATAAATATCACAGTGATGAACCGATATGTGTTTTCATTCATAAGTTTAGATGTATTTATTAATATTGTATTGAGAAACTAACAGCAAAAGTAATAATAAAGTAAGTAGAAATAAGTAAAAAAAAATTTTTTTTAAATAAAACAATAAAAACATCAAGAGCAGAGAAAGTAAATACATCACAGTCTCTGACATACATCCATGAGTAGGTACTGTACATTATTGTATTATAGATGTGTACATGAAGTAAAAGAATATGAGAACAAAGTTACACTGTACATGATACACAACTACTGCATGTGTCTGTATTTAGTCTATTTGCAGTAAATTATTGTCAGGAGGAAAATAAATAATCATGTTTTAATTTTTTTTTGTTTTAGCTTGATGATGATTTTTACGGCTTTAAACTTTATTTATTTCATCGCCTGTTGTTTTCACTGACAGTTGACAGAGAACAACACAGCAGAGCTCAGAACCAATCTGTTTGAAAGAGAGCAGCCAAACTCATGAGCTTCATTGAAACCACATGAAATGACACTGTATGTCATCAATGAAGAGCCCCCTCGCCCCACCACCTCCACCCCCACATCGCCCCCACCCCCCCGGCCCCGCTTTCCCTCTCTCTGCCATTGGCTGCCTCCAGCCGTCCCGCCTCTCTCAGTGATCCTCTGCTGCTGATGCCGGTAACCTTTAATAACGCATGAGCTCCAGCAGCAGCCGCCAAGAGGAGTGAGAGGACGAGAGAGAGGCTGGTACCGCTGCTGACACGGGGACACGCTGCAGTCGATGCTCCCCCCGAACAGCTTCCTATAGAGGAGAGGCCGAGGCACAGCTCAGAGCGGACTCAGTCAGACACACACCGAGGCAGGTTTACACACGGAGGCTGCAGGATCACTTCATCCCGGCGAACAGGGGCTGCTCCCTCCTCCACACACCTTCATGCTGCGGGATCAATGCGCGCAGAGACACCGGTGCGTAAAGTTGGTGATCTGATCCGCCCCGTCTCCCGCTCCCACTGTCACCGGAGGACCGCTGTGTTGCTGAGGTCCCGGGTCCAGCGTGGATTTTAGAGCCCGTCATAGTGTCGTTGTTGGATGGTAAGGTTTCCAGCGGAGCGCTGCTGGGAGACCCTGGAAGTCTCTCTGTGAACGAGCCACATGCGTGTGGATATGGATTTGCTTTTACTATAGCCAAGATTTGCCGCGGTTTTTTAAAATATTCATTTTTCATTTTTTGACTGTGTTTTTTGTGTTGGTATCGGTAGATTTTTTTTTTGACTCTTCAACGACCGCAGAGGTTTCAGGTCTCATCGTGTGGAATTACAACCATGAACTTTGTTGTCAGTTTGGTACAGATCCTGTTGGCAGCGGTTCTTCACCTTCCCACTGTAAAGGTGAGTCTTCTGGTATCAACTATTGCACGGGGACGGGTGCTCTCTCTCTCTCTCTCTCTCTCTCTCAAATGAGCTGCTTTGTCGCCTCGGTTATTCTGACTGTGTGACACATGTATTTAACACAAAGATAACAATGTGCTCATCAATAAACACACAGGGAAATATTGTCTCTTTATAAAAAAAAAAAAATGAAATTACATGTGTTAATAAATGCAGTTTTTTTCCTGTGTGGGTTAAATATCAATATTTTGTTGTGTTTGTATCTGAAATCCTCCGTCTCTGTTCTTTTTGTTGAAACAGTACATGCCCTTCTTTTTTGTTTAACAAAGCCAGACTCTATTTAAAGTCGGTCAGGTTAAGATTTACTGTATAAAAGCTCAGAGAAACGCTTTATTAAATAAGTATCAAGAGTGTTTTGACTCTGACAGACAGTCATTTCATTTCGGCACATATTGGAGAATTTATTCCTATAGAAATAAAGCCTTCATTTGGTGTGGTCCTCGTTGTCTACGGCCCAGTAAACTGGGTGGAACAGACGTGGGAATAAGTCTTAAAGTTGTGGTTTTGATTAATTCAATGCTGCTTGCTGTGTTGCCTGCGCGCCGACCTGAATATTAACTCATCAGATCAACAAAAAGTTTCTCAGTCATCATTAATGTAATGGCTTGTTAATATTTTTCGGAGGGTGAGCATAAAAGTGATAGTTTTGTGAACGGGGTTCTGCTGGAGGCGCGCCTTCTCGGAGCTGAACAGTCAGTGCTCTGCTATTCAGCCGCAGGGTTCAGTCCCAGTCTATTTTTTTTCTCACGGTGATCCGCAGCGTGAGGAAGCTGAGACCCGGTTTCTCCTGTCCCGCCGCCCTGCGGGATGCCCACCAAGTTCCCACGCAGGCCGAACTGCTTTCTCACGCAATATCTGCGCCGGTTACAGCAGCCACATAAGGTGAACGGAGATCTCCCAGGGATGGCGATTCGTCACGTCAACGTTATACGATCAAAACAAAGACCGCTTCCTGTGGGACCTTTCAAAATAAATCAAAGCCATATGCACGCAGATTGAATAGAAATGAACGCGTCTTTTTTTATTTTTTTTTATTTTTAATCAAAACTGATTTTAGCTTCCTCAGTTTTGCATGAACTGTGACAAACTGATTCTGGTCAGGGTCAGGGTTAATCTAATTTGCAGGGTTAACTTTAACCCCATCACATCAGTGTTGCTACAACTCTTTACTTTTATCTTCTAATGATTAAAACACGAGCGCAGACTTTTCCATTTTCAAGTGATGTAGAATTTCCATTGAAACTTAATTTCTTATCTCTTCATTAAAGGTAGCCTCACATTTTTTTTTATTTCGAAGGGGAGTCAGTCTTGCTCCTCCGGTGTGTGTGTAACTTGACAGAGCTCATGACCCGTTAAGTCAGTGATAGAAAGGAGGGAAAAGACTATAACAAGGTGTTTGACACCTGTAGTGACAGAATTAATTCTGACTTCGTGATTGTTTGATATTACTTTGAAAATAAAAGTTTTGCATGTACCATGTGGTAGAAATGAAGGAGGAAGATTTGATGTTGTTGATGATGATGATGATGATGATGATGATGATGATGATATGTGTATGAAGGCCGTGCTGACTTCAGTGAGAAAGATTAAATCCTGCTCTGATCTCTTACAGACTGCCAGCATTAACAAGGGAGTGGAGAAGAGTAAAAATGATGGTAAGTATCTGTAACAGAGCTTATGACCACAGGGCCACCTAGTGGACATGACGTGAAAAGTTTATCTTCAGTAGTTTCTCTAAAGGTCTGGATCTTTGACAGGTGTTGGTGTATTTGTTCTTCACTGTGAGCTGAGGGTTGTTTTCTGTACCGAGCAGACGGGAATCAAAGTCCCAGCGGTCAAAGGTCTCAGTCTCACCTGGTCCAACACTCAAATGTCTTACCTGGGACTTTGGAGTTGCCATAAAACCGGTGCTGATTTCAAAACCGTATTCAGGTTTCACAAAGACAGACTTTGACTGCGGCTCAGATAGAACAAATAGTCAGACTTTAGATAGACGTCTAAAATCATCCGTTGCACAAAGCAGTTTAGTTCTTGACTATCTTAAGACTGTGGTACAATGAATTCTGGGTAAATCAAGACTTTTTTCAAAATAAAAAAAAATAGCAGACTGAGGAACCGCACCCAGCTGCTGAGCTCCGTTTACCCTCAGCAGAAAATGTTTGTCTTTTGGAAGAATTCAACAGTTACAAGGACGTTTAACTTTGGAAGTTCAGCGAAGAGTGAAACAATAAAGAAGAAAAATCTGATTTGGTCTTTTCTCCATAACAGTGTTAGCAAACCACAAATTATGAGCCATTTTTACCCTTTTTTGTTGTTTGGTGCTACTGATCAGCGCAGGTGTCATTGATTGTTACCATGGTAACATTGGTCTCAGACCTGAGTTAGCCTGGAGGTAAGGTGTCTAATGGTTTTGGCTTAAAATGAGTCAGCGTTGTCTTTGTGAAACGGTCTTATTAATATTAGACTAATCTGTGAGAAAAACGAAGACTGGCCTAACGCTACAGACCAGTCTGAAATGTCTTTGTGAAACCGGCTCCTGGAGTTAATGTGAGAGAGAAGGTGGAAATCTGCCAAGGCCTCCGCAATAATCTGCAGCTGTTCCAGTTTTGGTTTCTGTTTTTTCTCACCTGTTTGTGGTGGAGGATCACAGTCAGCACACGAGCCGACTGTCAGCCTTGGTTCATACTCATGTTTATCTGACAGTGACACACAACGTTGTGTTGAGGGCCAAGGTTTGTCCTGTTGACTGGTGATGAACAGAGACACAGGCCAGTCGGTACAGGCGGCTTCAGTGGACAGGTTGTGTGGTCGGTGTTTGTGGAGCAGCAAGTCTGCCATCTGCACACCACTGACCTTCACACACCCACACTGTCAGAGATCACACCACCTGTCAAACGCTGTCATATACAGGGAGATAAGACTGTGGCCTGATTATTGCTGCTGCACAGCTCTGAACTCTTTGACAAGATTTGTTAAATCCACCTCAGCCACAATGGAAACTAACACAGTTTTCAACAAGAACAGATCCACAAAAAAATATACAGTTTCATTTTTAAAAGGCTCAGTAATTTACTGAAACAGCTGCTCACTGTAGTTTCTAGGGACTATTTTCAGTGGCGGATTAATCCACATTTGGTGCAGTAGTGAGTATTTGTGGCGGCAGCAGGATGGTGTGTGACTGAGTCAGAATAAACTCCAGTGTCTCGATGATGATGATGATGATGATGATGAAGGAAGATGGCTCCCAGAGCTGCAGTGAGACTCTGATGTGTTTTAACAGTTTCTGGAAACAATGGAGCTCTGTGGCTCAGAGGAGTCAGTACCAGGCTGTTCTGGTCCGGAGGAGACGTTCAGGCTGGTTCAGGTCGTCCTGTTAGATTTAGTGACGAACCTCCAGGAGGATCTGTTACAGGATGATGTAAGACGGAGGAAATCTTTTGGTTTGGATGCAGAACCAGTTGAGCGTGTTGGCATGAGGCTGCCGTCTGCTGACAGTCCTTTGAACCAGATCCACCCAGCCAGTCTCTGTCATGGAGCAGGTGTGGGGGTTTAGCTGCTCATGTCTGCTGGCCAGGTCACCTTGGAGCCAGACCTGCAGCGTCATTCATTTCAGAGCTGGAGAGGTACATGGCACTGCAAGTGGAGATTTTATTAGTCTTTTCAGTGAGAGCTGCTGCTGGTGTGATGAATCTGTGTGTGTGATGCGTGAATGCTCCACAGTCTGAGCAGCCTCTCTGTGTCTCAGGGACAGGGTGAGGGAAATACTGCGTCACAGTCTCTGTATTATTTGTTGGATTTTGAAAATCAGTCTGTAGCATTAATCCAGAGGCAGAGACTCAGGGGTGGGCTTCCTGGGGTCACATGTCAGAGGTGAAGCCTGGCGCCACACAGCCTGAGGTCACGGCTGCTCCGACAAACCAGGGGTCAGGAGTTAACCAGGGGTCGCTGGGAACCCAGTCTGGTGGACTGTGGGAGGGATTACTGTGGGCTGCACAGGGCACAGGCAGGTCCCCCAGTCAATTGGCTTGTATATGGTTTGTAGTGTAAAGAGCCACTGAGAGTGGCTTTGTATCTGAGCTTCATGGAACATGGTTTCATCCCTGACTCTGGACCAGTTTGATGTTAGAAGAAGTGGCTTCAGTTCTGTGGCTCTGTCTGTTTATCCTAATGTCTGTTCTTAGATAAATAACCTAATGTTGAAGAAGACAGGAAGTTGATTATTACATCATTCTTTTCACTTTTCTCCCTGGTCATAAAGATGATGAATGATCTCTTTTTTTTTTAGTCGTCCTTATCTCTGAAGTCATCACCAAGAGCATGTGTCAGCCCAGGGAGGTGCTGGTGGACATCTTCCAGGAGTATCCAGAGGACACGGAGCACCACTACGCGCCGTCCTGCGTGGTCCTCAAGCGCTGCGGAGGCTGCTGCATGGACGAGGCAACGGAGTGCGTTCCCACAGAAACCCGCAACATCACGTTGCAGGTGAGCTGGTGGGGGTGGGGGTGGGGGTGGGGCACCTTGTTGAACTTAACCAATAAAACAAAGGGCTGAATCAGTCACAGACCACTGAGAGGCTTGATGCTAGTACCTGATAATCACCATGACTCTCAACCTCAACTTCATGGTCTTCTTCATCAATGGAGGGAGTTTGCCATTAGTTGTCATGGAGATGACCCAGTTGTCATCATCTATCACATGACTGAATTTCCAAACTCAGGCCACATTATGACTACAAGCCGTCTCCATAAAAACTCCACTCACTAATGAAGATCATGAAGTGTGACTGAGAGCTTCAGAAAAACCTTGTAAATGGACCCTGTGTTAAGATTATTGTGTCAAACCACAGTGACGAGTGAGTCAGGGTTAGTAGCTGTGGATTATGAAAAGGGGGGGCATCAGGACCAAGTTTTGCTGGACGGTGTGAGACAGTCCAGCAGCGGAGAGAGTGAAGCAGCGAGGCCTGGTGTCTCAGATGTGTTGTTTACTTCAGGTCGTCTCATTGTGGTGTTTAAACTCTGCTGTGTGAATCTAAACCTCATCTCATGTCCTCTGTTTCACTTCAAGGTGATGCGGTTTAGACCGATGGTGACGCAACATACTATTTATTTAAGTTTCACAGAGCATCAGAATTGTGACTGCAGGTAAGAGACACATTTCACACGCTCCCTCTCACAGTGACTGTGGTGCGGTACAAGCAGAAATCTAACTCTTCGTCTATTTTATTTCAGGAAGAAGCCAGAAGTTCAAGAACTGAACGAATAGTAAGTACGTGTTCTGTGTCTCTGTGTTTCTGTGTTTCTGTAGCTGTGGATCAGAAAAGCAGGGTTTTCTATAACGTGTGTTTGATGTTGGTCAAAGTGGGTGAAGCAGCGAGCCGGAGCCAGCAGGTTTCATCCCAACAGGATGTGCCTTCGTGTTCATTCACGCCTTGTCCTTCTTCTCCTCCTCCTACTGAAACAACATGAAGTGAAGGTTCAGTGTGTGTTTGGTGACGCCACAGTCTAGCTCAAAAGTCATGCAACTGAAACGTACCGTGGTGGTTCCTGTAGGGGGTGGATCCTGTCCTACACCTATCTTTACAGAGCTCAGCTCTTTTTATGGCAGCAGCTTTACTGCTTTATGGTGCGGCCATAACAGCGTGAATGATTGAGGCGTAGACCACCCGCCGCTGTCTGCACTGAGTTGCACAAACCTGACCCTCGGCCCTCGTCTACTTCCGCAGTCTAATCATAGCGACAGGTGTCACGCAGTCAACCTATTTTTATTTTTAGAGGTGTAAATAGAGGATGAGCTGGGAGACGAGCTGAAGGGAGGACTCACTCTGTCACAGCTGACACAGGCCTGCGTGTGAGTTTGCATGGGGTTTGTGTGTCTTGGCTTCTCAGCAGTAGGTCAGGTTATTTAATTGGATAAGAGGAGTGCGTGTGTGTGTGTGTGTGTGTGTGTGCCCAGCTGTGGCCTGGTGGGTAAGACTTTGATTGAGGACGGATGGGATCATGTTAGTCAAACTGGTTTATCACGGGGCTGAACTGCGTCCAGCCTGTGGTGGAGGTGGAGGTGGTCTACAGAGGATGTGCTCGTTCAGACAGTTGCAGGAACACACATCCTGACACACCGGATCAATATCCACCTCTGCTAATGAGGGGACCAGATCAGAGCAGCTGCTCTGTCGGTTGATCACCTTCCTGTTTGGTTTGATCAGGTATTGATGGAGCGCTGCAGGATTGTCCTGGCCCCTGCTCAGGTGTCTCCTCTCTTTGAGTCGAGGCCTGTTACCTGTGTCCTTTTTCACATATGCAACAACTGCACTTCTGTGGCAGTGAGATGCAGTTTCCGTGGCATTTCCTCTCTGTCTCTATGGGGAAGGGTTATCTTTAAGGCTGTCTGCTGCACTGCTGCTGCTTTTACTTCCTTTTGGGGGCCTTTTTTTTTATCTGATGCCACGTTTCCTTCACAGTCAAAGTGGAGAAATACAGACATGTGGAGTGTGCAGCTAAAGATCACTGCAGCCTTGAGAGGTTCACTGATAAGTTCAGCTCTGGTTGTTTTGCTCCTGTTTTCATACAGGAGGTGTAGAAGGCCACACAGAATTGATCCTGCTGCCGAAAGTCTGCCGAGCAAATCACTTAGATGAGACAAAGCATAGTTCCTTCATATATCTAGTTCTGTCCTTGTTGTGTCTCTGATGTGACCTTCTGTCTAAATAAACCCAGCGCTGTAACAGATAACAGTGTCTACCTCAGCTGACTGTGAACTGTGACTGTGCAGCTTCTGGTTCTGGTTCTGCAGTGATGACGTACAAACTTGCTGTGATCAAGAATTTAACAAAAACGAATTATTTAATGTAAATCTTGCATGAATATTTAGATGAGAGACAGTTCCTTCATGTGATGAAAGTGTGTTCCTTCTGAAACAGAAGATTTTTGTTGACACCTGTTAGAGTAGGATGATGTCACCGTTTAGGGTTCGTTGATTTCCACAAAATGTTTCATTGTTGTTTAAGTAGGAAGTTTTGAGTGTGACGGCAGCGGACTTAGTGCAAAGCTTCTGGAACAGACTACAGGGCCAAATGGCCCGAGGCTGCTGGAGCCACAAATCCTCTTCTGTGTAAACCAATGCACATATTGTCTTTACAATGCGATCTCAGTGAGGGGAGGGTTTGGGGGTGAGGGGGGTGGCGGGTGGGGGTGTTGCATGAGTGTCTGTGTCGCCCTTTTCTGCAGAAATCGCTGCACTAGCTTAGATCTCTTTCTCTCTCTCTCTCTCCCTTTTTGCTTCCCTTGCAGCCACTGTGCGCCTTGCTCAGAGAGAAGGAAACGCTTGTTTGTGCAGGACCCTCTCACCTGTAAATGTTCCTGCAAATTCACACAATTAGACTGCAAGTCCAGGCAACTTGAGTTAAACGAAAGAACTTGCAGGTTTGTTTACCATACATATCACGATAAACAATGTGCCTTGAATCCCCCTCTCTTTCCTCCCGTCTGCCTCTCTCTCCGCCCATCTCTGTGCCTGCAGCGTAGCTGGAGTTCCTGCTGAGAAACGCATGCTTCTCCGTGCTCCTCCCTTCTTCTTCCTGCTCTGTGATGTTGTGTTGGTGTTTGTAGATGGGATTGTGGCAGCTCCGTGCTTGCTCTGTCTCCTGTCAGATACATCAGATTTAAAAGTCGATGATTCCTTAAAATTACCACTGAAGTGTTTGTATGTGTTGTGTATTACATGTATCTGTTTGCATGACACTGTTGTTCAGCTTGGACGTTAAACATCGTCAACATTCATTATTATAAGTGTGGGTTAGTGTTAGAAACACCGGACCACATGTTCATATAACGTCATTGTGGATAAAGTAACGATCAGCCGTTATCTACTGTTCACTTCCTCCAACCTAAACCACCACTCAGGTGGTCTGCCCCCGCCCCCTGACCTGTTTCCTACAGCAGATACGCCACAGATAATATGTTCAAAATCACTGTCGCCTTTATGATGTGACAATGACCTGGTAAAGGGTTGGTCACGGTTAGCCCTAAATACAACTTGGTTAGGTTTACAGAAAGATTAAAATACGTACTTGTTAAGGTTAGAGGACCTTCATCGTCTTGGTAACAATAATAAACACGTGGTTAAGGTTAGAGAACGACCGTGGGTGAAAGAAACAGCGTTGACTCTTGGTGTGAAACCGAAACTAAAGTCCAATGTTTTGTCGACCCAGGTCACATGACTTCCTCCTTCAGTCCCGTCATTATTGCTGCGGCCACCGGAGGGCGCTGAAGTAAAACTGAGCTATGGGTCGCGATAAACTGCGTTCTCATCCACACACAGAAATCTAACCTCCACAGTTTGTTTATCTTCTGCTTCTTCAGCAGCTGCTGTTCAGAGAGAATCTTTTGTCTCTTTGATGGACAAAGAAAAGATTGTTTCTGTGTTTTAGCTGGTTAACATAAAAAGTCTTTTGTGAGCCAGTTCATGGAGCAGCATGTAAACCTGTAGAGGGCCTGTTCATCCACATTGTCTCACTTAGCTCTGGGGGTGGTCCGACTGTGGCTGCCTCTAATACAACAGAGATCAGTGCAGTTTCATTTGCGGAGGTCAAAACATTGAAAAATGATCTTTATGCCCTTCACCAGTAACTATCCACTGACCCTCAGAGTGGCTTTTCCTCCAGCAGAAAGTAGTTCCAGTCAACGCTGACTTTAACTCTCTCTCAGCGTCCTGATTTGCCGAATAATTAAGGTGCCTCAATCTCATGACACAACTTCTACGTCCTTACTCGACTTTGGTTGGGGGACCTCCGCTGCATGTGACACCCCCATCTCTTCCCCCTATTTCCTGCCATGTCAGTGACTGTTTTGTGGGAAATACAGTAGGAACCTGATAAAATAGAGTCTGCTCAGCAATTTCAACTCACACTGAGAAAAAGTCCATTGATGAAAATCCTGGTGAAGACCATGGGATAAGGCTGAAAGCTCTCAGGGGGAAGAGTTCATCAGCGGACCTTTATAAAGATCGTAACTTGTCTATATATATATATATATATATATATATATATATTTATGTACCTGTGTGCATGTTAGTCGGTGCTGACGGGGGTTGGGGTGGGGGGTGTTGCTGATGTGTTCATGCTGCTGCTGCTCTCTGCTCGTGTGTGTCGTTTGCATCAACACTAACGAGCGGAGGTTAAATCTGCAGCACAGAGCTGCTGGGAACGCTGCCCCGAGTTACGAAGGCTGTGTTTCACGACCTCCCCCGACCCAGCCCCTTCCATGACCTCTGACCCTGAGGGCCCCCCACACTGCTTTGGATTTAGAGAGCCACACACTTCTGGGGGGAGTGACCACTGACATGATTCCAACTGGCTGCTCAGTGTTCAGGAGAGAGGGTGGAGGGGACCTAAGGGTGGGGGGTCTCTGGTTAGGTGCTTGATCACCCACACCACACACCTACACCCTCGCCCCCCCTCTACTGTTCCCGCTATAACCTCACCCCCTGAGTCCTGCTGCTTAGCTGCCACAGGCTCAGAAAACATAGAGACATGAGACCAGAGACCAAACCTTTAACTGTCCAACAGAAAAAGAACCCAGTGGTGGAAATTGACCCAGACCCAGATCATCTATAACCCCCCCCCCACGCCCAACCCCCCCCTCACTATCACCTCTACTTCCTGTTCTGCCCCTGTTTGTTTTGTTGCATGGAGTAGTTGTGTCGTAATCTGTGAGACGAGGCTCGTCACTTAACCAGATTCTCCTCTTTGCTTCCACAGATGTGACAAACCGCGGAGATGAGACCAGCAACACTGTTATGAAGGAATTCTTTTTTTGGCACAGCACTTTGAAACCTGAGGATGCATTCCCTGCAAGGACAAGAGACGACAAAGCAAGACAGGACACTCTGGATGCAGATCTTGCCACTGTCAGTTTTCCGCCTGATGATATTAATATATATGTACATATACTATAAGTACATCGACAATGTGTATTGCTGCTACGTAAAAAAGACACTATTTAAAGCAAACGAATACGCCGCCGGCGTGTGAATGGGAAACCTCTCAGTGGTGTTCCGCTCATGAGTGGAACTGAGAGAAGAAATCTTTTATTTTATGTAACACTTCACTGGATGCTGGTCTGCTGTGGATATGAACATCTTAAATATTTCTGAGTAAGAAAAACTGGTGACCACGACTTCATGGAGCAGTGCAGCAGGAGCCGAATCCGCCTCTGAAGAGACTGAGGGGGGTGGGGGGGGCAGAGGGAGGACGAGGAGGGGGAGGAGTGCCTGTTGTACTTGAACTGAATGGCAGGTCCAACGACTGTTTCCTCTGTGACATGATGTGAAGTTGTGTCTCCACTGTAAGGACCCACTTCAGCAGGTGTGAGGACACACCTGAAGTGACGGTCTCGTGCTGTGGTGATGGATAATGTGAAGATGACTCTCTTCCCTCAGGGAGGGGTTACCTGATGAAGGCTGGACTACAGATCAGATGATGGTGAAGTAAAAAAGGTCTGATTCAGTGTTTAAACTGGGTTAGAGTTTGGCCTATCAGGGTCAAAGGTAACGAAGCCCCGCCTCTTCCTGTTCCAGCCTCCTTCATGTGACCTCTCCCTGGTTGGGTCTCTCTTTGTGCACAGAGTTTATTATTTACACTTTGAGGTATTGTGTTTCTTTCACAACATGTATTGAGACCAGGCTGTCTAAAGGGATATTACTGTAGTTTCTACGTAGAAGAAGAAACCAGACGAACTGATCTCAGAGCAGATCAGCACCTCACTGTAGAAATCCACAACCTTCCAGTTTCCTTATTTATTGGCTTTGTATGTGTTCCAAAGAAATCGTCACGTCCACAACAGAGCAGTTCATCATAAACCATCTGTGTAGATATCCCTCTGTCTAGTACACTACATCTAATTTATAGAATATGTCCAGTATTCTGTGTTATATATTTATATGCAGTGTTAATTTTTGTTTTCAGTCTGTCTGGAGACTGAATGGAGAACACGTATGACTGTGACTGAAAGACAAAGCTTTGACATTCCTGATTTAAACGAAAGCTGTGTTTCACACCAGCCGGAGGGGGATCATGGTGGGCCTGTTGACCGATAGTAACCCCAGCCACCAACATGTGGGAATGGAGCGCCCAGCACAGGTGTTTCTCATTCTGGACTGGGGTGGTGGACATGTGGTTTTGCACTTGTGGACCCGAAGACACGTCATACTGAGGACTGAAGGAGTCTCATAGCCACTGATCAGCTCGGACCTAAACCAAGTGAAGACTGTCCAATCAGACTGAGGCCTCTGGTCTGAGGGCGGTGACGTGGCACAGTGTTTCACCAAGGCGCTAACATCGCGTCACAGTGTTAAACTGTGGTTCAGGAGGATACAGCACAAATCAAAACCTGTAACTGTTACCACACGAGGAGAAGACCTGACATATCAGAATGATGATGATGATGAACAGTGTTGAAGAAACATCAGAAGTTACAATTAAAATGCTGATATATAAATAAGGTCACTAATACACTGTGTCACCATATATTATGTCTATTTATTAAATATTATAACTGGCTCAGATCTAATGTCCTGGAGCTGGGAGCTAATCATGTGACACAGAACAGAACAGATTAGTAATTAGAACTCTTACATCGCCTAAGACAACTAGAACAATCCTGAAGTAACACTATAAGCTAAACCCTTAAATACAGTATATATGTGTGTCAGTCAGACATCAGCAGCATTTTTCCAGCTAACAGCCGAAGAGGAAGAGAAAACAAGAAGAGCTGAAGCTTCACCCAGTGTAAACAAGTGAGATTAGTTAAATTAATTTGAGGGAAAACAGTAAAATTAAAACGTCTACACTGAAACACTCCCTGACTGACAGGAGCTCAACCAGTCAGTTACTCTCCTGTGTATATAAGACTTTAGACCAGGTCTATTCACATTTATCCCTCCACACAAGGCTGTGATGTTCTCAAGCTGAGTCATGCTGAAGGTTCTCATTATCAGATGCATGTAGCCTGAAGCTGCTGCACAGAAAACGTCCTCTCCTGAATCCTGTCTGTGTCTCTGTTAGCGCCAGCTGTGCCACAGCTGCTCCTGCGCCGCCACCCTCAGACCAGCGGCCTGAGACCGGCTGCTGGCCGACGCCTCTCCGCTCCTCATCGTGACTACATTCTACATGTATTTAAATGACTTTTTCTTGAGCTTGTACAGCAACACATTTTAGTATATTTTCACATTAATATATTTATTGGTGCTGTAAGATGTTTTACAGTAATAATAGTCTTTTTTTGTTGTTTTTAGTGTAACTATTAAAACATATTTATTTTGAAAATACAATGTTTTTTTATTAAAAGTCAACTAGTTTGAAATCTTATCATTTCAGTGTGAAAATGATGGTGTCAGATTGAGATGAAACAGACAGGTGGATCACAGGCAGACACAATGTGGCGTCCAGACCAGAAGTCAAAACCCCATGAACTTGCATTGTTTGCAGGAAAGATATTTCTAAGATTTAAACTAACTAACTAACAGGTTGGGAACATATCACTATTTCATACACCTGCCCCATGTGTTTTCCCCCAGAGACCAGCAGCATGGACGACAGCTGGAGGAAGTGCTAGCTGTTAGCTGCCACTCACACTCTGCTGTTTAGAAAAGTATCAGCTGTTCTCTATAAATCAGTGTGTCTCTCTACGCGCCTGGGTTTTAGATAATTCTTCAGAAACCACTGTTCCGTTACTTTGAAAGGTTATGAGTGAAATATTAAAGACTGTCAGCACTTGTTTCTTTTAACGGTGACAACAATCTTTTCCTAATCTCAACCATGAACATGTTTCTGTTAGCGAAGCCATGCTAGGAGCTCTGAGGTCATTGCTAACATTAGCATGCTAACTCTTGGGTCCCTACTGACCTCCACTGTATATGGCAGTTTCATGACCTCCCCAGGCACCCACAAACCAACCTGCACTGATTGACAGAAGAACAAGTTTGATAAATGATTAATCGTTTAGTGGTTTAGTCAAAAACTCGTTCCAGACCTGTTTCAGCCTCGTGTGAATATTTTAATCATCATTTTCTCTAGTTTTGAATAATAATAAAGTCAGCATTTTTGTATTTTGACAGCTGGTCACGCAAACAAGAAATTATCAGAATAATGATACATTTTCACTGTTTTCTGACATTTAAAACACTGAACAATCAATCAAATCAAATCAACAAATAATTGTAGCCTTGTTATCTCAACTATGATGGAAGAAGACGACTGTGTCAGTGTCAGCAAATATAAATGTCAGCTCAGGCCTTAAAACTGGGCGTTCACACAGAGGATGGAGGACCTGACACACATGATGTTCTTCTATTATATTATACATACACAATTCAAATTTAGGATTAATCAAACACAGCACACACAAAGTAAACTGAGGCTGAAGGGAAAGTCATGAGTTCTGCAGGTTCAGTTTTATTTTGGTTAAGACCAAGTGAAAATCTGATCCTGGTGGAACAGGAAGAGTCATTACTAGTAACCAGTCCATCTACTAGTAAACAGTCCATCTTCTAGTAACCAGTCCATCTGCTAGTTACCGGTCCATCAACTAGTAAACAGTATATCTTCTAGTAAACAGTCCATCTACTAGTAATCGGTCCAACTTCTAGTTACCGGTCCATCTACTAGTAAACAGTACATCTTCTAGTAACCAGTCCATCTGCAAGTTACCAATCCATCTGCCAGTAACTGGTTAATCTACTAGTTACCAGTCCACCTACTAGTAACTAGTCCATCTTCTAGTAACCAGTCCATCTACTAATAAACAGTTTATCTACTAGTTAGCTGTCCATCTACTAGATACAAGTCCATCGACTAGGTACCAGTCCATCTGCTAGTTAGCGGTGGTGGTAGATGAAAAGCTGGGATCACTGGTCGTTAGGATACGTTGTCTTGGGACCATGGATGCATAATCTTGATTCAGGTTTGTTCCAGTTAAGATATTGTGAGTAGGTGAAGATAAGGATGACCTGAGCATCTGGACCAAGCTTCATCGTGTCTTATTCTATAGTTTTCAAGACATTTCACTGTGAATCTAACGTGTCAACCAGCTGGTGGCGCTACAGGAAGTCTCAAGCTTCATCCTCTGGTTATAATGATCATCTGAGTAATGTTTTATGAACAACCGTTTGATGGTTGTTGAGATATTCCAGTCTGGAGCAAAGCAGTGGACCAACAGTGGCATCTCTGCAGCCACTGTGTCTTCCCTCCTGAGCGACAGCAACACAACACTGATTCATTTTACTCTGATAAATGACTTGTTGTGTTGGATGGAGCACTTGTTGGCAGTTAACCAGCTTCTTTTGTCAAACCAAATTAGTTAAATTTGTTTAGGCTGAACATTATGACAGTGTGACTCATTTTATATGAGATGGATTAAATGAAGAAAAGTTTCCCTGCTGGTTTCCACAGTACCTACAGCTTATGTAATTGTGGTCTGGAAAACAGATACAGACTTCCTGCTAAGTTCTGCTTCCCAATGTGTTGAAATTTATAGAGGTAAGTAAAACTGATACTCATGCTTCTACAGAATATTTACTCAGCTGTTTTCTGCTATATTTCTTAATCTGTTCAGCCTCACAGATTTTACTCTTTCACTGTTTTAATATTGTGCGTCATAGTGACTCAACAACATTTATTGAAGTTCTGTCAGATAAACTCGTAATTGTAAGAACCTGTGAACTTTGTTCTGCTGCTGAAAGACAGCTGACTGGAAAACAAGTGTATTTCTTTGATATGAGCTCCTGAGTCAGGAGCCATAAAGACAACGTGGGAGCACTTTGCCACCTCTGAGGTTGCGCTTTCACAAACGATTAGGAATCAGTGTGAAGTGTAGAAGTTCTTCAGCACAACAGATTTGAGGCATAAATAAAGACCAGTTAGAGTACTGAGCCCTGGTGCTGCTAAATACACAGAGGAATGCTGCAAAAGATTTGATCTGTGATTAAGGGGGAATTTAAAAAAAAAAAACATCAGTTTACTGGTGGAGTGAGTGTGGGTGGACTTTAAACTGCTCCCTCACTAATGCCACAGGCAAACAGGAACCTGGGAACAAGACAACCTTCATATCCTCTGTGTGATGAAGAGAAATGTCATGCAGGGAGTTTGAATGTGTTCAATCTGTGGGTGAAAAACAAAATACAAAGTCTTGTTACTATAACTGAGCCTCTTCTTTATTCACTCCTCATACCTTCAACAACTCTACTTAAAGCTGCACTCAATATTTCATCTCAACAACAGGTCCAATGACTGTGTGTAATCTTGTGTAATGATCTCATTCTACAGCCATCCTCAGCTCTACTGAGCGGTTTAGCATCTTTCAGTTTGTTAGGTTCCACAGACCTTTCACAGCAAACAGCAGACAGACTCAGTCAGAGAGCAGCTGGTGAACATGGTGGAGCGTTCAACAGCTAAAGAGCCACAGGAGCTGGTGGAGACTAAACACAGAGCTAAAAGAGAGGCAACCCTGGACACAGACACCACTCCACATGAATCATCATGTAGCTGCTGGAGGTGGAGATAAGGGACTGTTAGCTTCATCATAACTTCTTATAAGATGGTTACTGTATATGTCAGTGTTGTATTTACAGCAAAATAAAGTTCACTCAACTCATTAAATTAATTTTTAAAGAAACAAACAGAGCAGGAGCAGACTTAGAGTTAAAACTCTTCTTTTTGTTGTTTGAAGAAAACAGTAATGATGTGAACTTGCTGTGTCTTTAACACATGTGAAGGTTGTTTCTGCTCATAATAATGAAAACACTGTGGAGCAACTGAAGGTTATATTGACTTCAGTCCTGACCCCCCCCCCCCCCCCCCCACACCACACACACACACACACATACACACACACACACACTGTGAGTTTAGAGAGTCCTTAAATGAAGAAGTGACTCTTTCAACTGACAAATGTAAATCTTTCTTTTCTCAAATTCAGTAAACATTTCAGTTCAATTTTACATTTCAAAAAAGGCCTTTCATAAACAATGTTGAAATTACTATTCAAACTAAGTTCAGTGAACTAATTTTTCAGCAAAAAACTTTTGGAGTATTTTAAAGCAGAAGATGGAGCAACAAAACAAGAACCATCCAGAAGAATCTCTCCACAGGTCTGAGGATAACACGTCCAGGAGGATCGAGTCTGTCATCAAAAATAAAGACAGACAAAATATTTTAAAAAATTAAAGAATGGAATCTCACTAATGAAGGTGTATTGACTGTTGCTGCAGTGAGTTCTTACATAAAGACTTTCCATTATTGTTTAATTAGCCAACATTTCTGTTTTTAATTGACTTTGTGTGTGCGTGTGTGTGTGCGTGTGTGTGTGTGTGTGTGTGCGTGTGTGTGTGTGTGTGTGTGTGTGTGTGTGTGTGTGTGTGTGTGTGTCTGTGTGTGTGTGTTCGCATGCACACAAAATCACTGTGACTGTGGGAACTAAGCTCAGCAGTGGAACTCGTTAAGCCACCGTCACAACAGTTTCCAGTCATTCCTTCTTCCCCATCCAGAGTTCCTCATTCCATCTCATCAGCTTCAGTGTAAAGGAAATATCTTATTCCTGTTTAGTGACTGCAGTAATGGTGACTGCGCTTAAAGTTTTACGCTGACGTTTCACTTCTCAGGGCTTGAACAAGTGAACTAGAGGCCAAAATATATAGCTCAGCTGGAAGTATAATCAGACCTGATACACATGATGTTCTTCTATTATATTATACATACACAATTCAAATTTAGGATTAATCAAACACAGCACACACAAAGTAAACTGAGGCTGAAGGGAAAGTCATGAGTTCTGCAGGTTCAGTTTTATTTTGGTTAAGACCAAGTGAAAATCTGATCCTGGTGGAACAGGAAGAGTTATTGGTAGTGGTAGTGGTCAGATTGACTGTAGCAGTGACAGAACCTCCTGTACAAAGTCTGCATGGTGCTTGTTAGTCTTTGTAATTTGTTTATTAATTACGTTCTCATGTCAAATGCCGTTACAGAAAGTTGGAATCTTTCCTCTGAGACCCTGCTCCATGTTGACATGATTGCATCACATGCAGATTTCTCAGCTGCACATTCATGCTGCCAGTCTCCTGTTCTACCACATGCCAAAGGTGTTCTACTGGATTCAGGTCTGGATGGTTATTAACTACATGTTTAGTCACTGCATGGTTATCTACTGTGTGGTTCTCTACTGCATGTTTTCTATGTTGTTGATTCATTGAATGTGTGATGAGTGGACATGACCTGAAAGATACTGAAGTTCATATTCCACTTCAGTGACAGAGTGGGAGACTGACTGTAAGTGTAGGCTCCTCCCACTCATATCAGCCTGACTGCATCTGAGAGTTAATGTCTACCAGCCTTGTCTGCAACCAACTTTTGCA